CGAACGGCTGATGCGGTAAGTCGGCTTCAGGGCAGGTGAAGCATGTTCCTCTGACTCGTTGGAGTTCTCTGCCATCGTGCAGTAGTAGTGAATCTTTGTCGAGCACTCCTGCTCTTATCGTGTTGTTTAACGTTGTGTTGCTTGGGTGTCCCATCATTGCATGCCAGATTTCTTCGCTGGCGCGGTGTCCGGGTGAGCGCCGATACATGTCGGAGTTGGAGTAGAAGCCGGCAGTGAAGTTGGCACTTCGATGGACTTCTCGTGGAGTTGGCGTTAGTTGTTGTGCAGGTGTCGATGGCGAGTTGTCGTCGAGGACGGGTGTCGTTGAGGGGCCAGCGATCGGTGTCGAAGTTGTCGCTGCTGCTACCGTTGTCTCTGCTGCTGCCGATGTTGTTTCTGCTGCTGCCGTTGTTGTCTCTGCTGCTGCTGATGTTGTCTCTGCTGCTGCCGATGTTGTCTCTGCTGCTGCCGATTGTTGAATTGTTGCTAATGCCCTTGTTCGTTCTGCTTCAGGTATCCTGTGGGAATGCCAGAAGCCGCTCGGACTGAAATCGGGATCAAGATCTGGCGGGTGTGTCCAAGAGGTGAAGGTCACGATGCCGTCATTGTCGGCGGTGCTAAGATCTGGAACGAAGTCGAGGACGAAGACGTTGTTCTTCAATACTGCTTTCCCAATGTAGAGTCCGCCTCTCCCGTGGTACAGTTTGAATTCTTGAGTGGTGCTGTCTGCCTCGAGATGGATCCCTTTCGCCATCAACTGACTGACGCTTAGTAAGTTGTAGCCGAGTCCTTCTGCTATTAAAACTTTCGACATTTGTAGTATGACATTTGTCTCTCGTGACTGGAACTATGCCTTGTCGTCGTGTGCGCAGGTTCTGGTTGTTGGCGACGGTGATGACGACTTCGCGTTGAAGTTGGTATTCCCGTTGAACGAAGCGACTCGAAGAACACATGTGCTGTCCGCAGCAACTGTCCAAGAACCAGGTGTCTTTCCCGGATGGTTCGCTTTGGGCGATGGCTACGTACGTTGGGTTCGGCTGAAGTGACTCGCGGCGAGGAGTGTTGTTGTAGAGTTGCTCTTCTGGTGGGTAGTGTGGCGGCGACTCGGCGACGCAGGAGTCGGTCAGTCTTGCCATGCAGCTGATGATGCTTCTTGTTCCTTGATTGGGTTGTCCCGTCGATGTTGTTGAAGCTTGTTCTTGAGTGGTGGGATTTGCTTGCATTGAGGCGACTTGGCTGCTTGAAGGTCGAAGCTGCCGCTGTGTTGGTGTTGTCTGTTGTTGATTCGGGCAGTGTGTGCGGGGGTGACCTGATGTCTTGCAGAGATGACAGAACGGAGGTACGGGTTTCGGTTGAGGCCGGTTGTTGTTGTTGTAGCGCCGCTGAGTGTGGAAAGCGAACTCAGGTACTGACGTCTTCCTTTTGTGTCGTTCTTCTTGCAGGTCCATGTCTTGCTGCTCGGCGTGAATCTCGGCGTAGAGTGCCGCTTCGGAGATTTTCCCATGAGCTCGGAGTATGGTGCGAGTGGAGCGCCACTGGGGACCAAGACCGCCGATGACAACTGTGACGAAGGCGTCTTCCGATATCGACCCTCCGCATCGAAGGAGTTTGTCGCGCAGTTCGCGACAGCGACTGATATATGCCATTCCTTTTTCGCCTGGTTTCATTTCGACTGTTGTCAGTTGCGCCATTAATCGACTTTGATTGACGCTGTCTGTTGCTTGATACAGGTTCTTCAAGTGGTTGTACGCGAGCTCGGCGGAGTTACCGTATCCCCGGTAAGACCGAATGTTCTGCTGCTGAGTTGGAATGATGTTTCTCAGCAGGATTGTATATGCCATCATTGACTGATACGTATACTGCTGCTTCTCGTACTGTGTGCCGTTTGTTGGGTATGGCAGGGACCCGTCGAAGAAGCCAAGAATCTGCGCGCCTTCCATCATTAGCTCGAACTCGAACGACCAGGTGAAGAAATCTTTACCATCGAATGGCGTTGATGTTTGTAGCGTTGAGACGTGTGCGAACTGGGACTGAGCTTGAAGTGCATGCAATGGCCTTTCTTGTCCAGGTGAGGCTTGCTGATACGGCATGAAGCTGATGGAGCCGCGCTGGGGCTCGTATGGAGCAAAGGTAGGTTGGTGTTGCTGATTTCCGCGTGCGTACAACGAGCCGTCGAGACTCATGGGTGTCACGTCGTTGTTGTTGTTGCTGTTGTTTGACTGCGCAGGTGCCGATTGCTGGTGTTGCTCATAGAAGGACATGAAGGAGAAGAATTTCTCCATCATGCTTGGGTCGAAGCCTGCGGGTTGATTCGCAGAAGTTTCAGTGGTCCTTGCTGCTGGTCTTGTTGCCGTGCCCTCCTCTGTCTGTAGGCCAGAGGCAGGAGGTGGAGAAGGAGTAGTGCCTGGAGAACCATTAGAGGAGCTCCTTTCCTTCTGTGTTGCCATGCCTTCTGATGTTGTAGGTGTCCTGATAGTAGTTGAGTTTGCCCTGTTGGCTCTCATACAATGTTGGGCTGAGAAAAGCCCTTAGGATCTTTGCAGGACTAAACTCCTGGTAGGAATGATGTAATAGCGGAAGCGTTTAATGAAGATTGTTGAACCACCTTGCGCTAGTATGTGAGGGCAAAGTAGATTGATTAAAGTAAGAAGATACAAGGCTTTATATGAGTACAAGGAATATGAAGAGATACGGTTAATAACCGTTTTACTGTTGCTGTTGCGGTTCGATACAGTGACGACTCGGGCAACCGCTCAATAACGAGTCGGTTGTGTGTCCTTGCTGTCGTACTGTACTTGTCAGGTCAAAAGTCGCTGACCTTTGACTTTTGCATAACCTCCAGCGGTTGCTCGTGCATGTCAACCTCCGATGGTTGACTCGCCGTTGTTGCGTTGTTGCTTGCCTCGTTTACGACTCAGTGTTTCGACACGACAGAGGCGCTTAAATCACTTGTTTCCAACACTCCCCTTCGCTTCTGGAGTGTCGCTGCTGGTGACGTGGCTTTGTCCAGTCAGCAGCATGCAGTATTCGAACTTCTGTTTTCCGAGCTTCTTGGTCAAGTAATCGGCTGCCATCTCGGACGTGGGGCAGTATGACAGCTCGAGTCTCCCCTTCTCGATCTCGTCCTTCACGAAGAAGTATCGCAAGGCGATGTGTTTCGTTCGGTTCGCGAATCCGCTCTTGTTTGCTATGCGAATTGCCGACTGATTGTCGCAGAACAGGGAGAAGCTGGGTAACTGAGCCAGCTTCGCTTCTTCCAGTAATTCGCGAAGGTACAATCCTTCCTTGGTGGCTGAGCAGAGTGCGATATATTCTGCTTCAGCTGAGGAGAGGGCGATTAACTCCTGCTTGCTCGACTGCCAGGAGATAGGTCCGATAGGCTCGAAGCGATAGATGTAGCCGGTGCGCGAGCGCCTGTTGTCAGAATCTCCGGCGTGGTCGGCGTCGACGTAGCCGATTAATTTAGGTGTTGTAGTTCCGTTTTTGTGGTAGGTCAGGCCGATCGTCGGGGTGCTGACGAGGTAGTGAAGAGCGCGGTCGAGCTCCGCCAGATGTTCTGCTTCAGGCTTCTTGAGGTAGGTTGCGAGTTGAGTTGCCGAGTACGATAGGTCCGGTCGGCAGGTGACTGCTGCGAATAGGAGACATCCCAGTTTTCGTTGATACACGCACTGTTGTAGATCCCTCTGCTGACTGTGCATCTGGAGGATAAGCTTCTAAGACCACTCATGTTTGGGTTGGGTGGCACTTCAGTTCTACAATACATTTCATTGGCACTGTGTTGTGCCACCAACGTGATGACAGGGCACGGACCACGGTGCGGTTCCAAGGGGCCCCACAACAATAGCAGCCGCCACAACAGCAGGAACAAAAGCAATTGATGGAGAACCAGTAGCATTAACAGGAGAACCAGCAACCGCACACTGTGTTGAAAGTGGCCATCAAATTTCGTCATGCTAACGTATGTATATTTCATGTCTGAGATCTCTTGGAACTGCAACAGCTGCTGTCTATAACACGGCTGCATTGTGGTACGTCAGCTTCTATAAACTTCGATTCAATATGTACAAATCATGTCCTACTGCATAAGAAGGAACATTACAAATGCACAGAATACCACTGACTAAGCTACGGTACCATAGTGGCATTCATGGAGCATCTGTGATGTTCCTTCTCGGATCACACCATCTCCCCGTGCATCCATCTCCCATTCTCCTCTCCTTCAAAACCTGCCACCAACCAGCTTTCCCGACAAGCTGCTGCTGGTGCCGGCAAACCCAATGTAGAGCTGCCCACTGGCGCTCGGCTGGATGGCGCTGAGCACGTCCGCCAGGTCCGCCGGCGCGACAGTGAGCACATTGGCCAGCGACCACGACACGGAGCTCAGCAGCTGCCACGTGCCGGGCAGCTGCAGCGCCACGGGTGGGGCTGCCTGCCCGCACGTGCTGTTGCCGCTGTAGATGGCCGCCGCCTGCGGTGCCTCCGCCATGCCCGTCGCCACCAGCTGGTATGCCACCGCGTACGCCGAGCCCCTGCCGTGAGGAGAGGGGGGAGATGGGGGAGGTGGGGGAGGCGGGGGAGGTGTGGGGGGCGGAGGAAAAAGGGGGGAGGTGGGGGGGCGGGGAAAGGGTGCACAACAGGGGGATTAGAGTACTAAGGTGGGCCTTTTTCCAGGTGATTAAGACACACGATGTGTGATTTTTGCAGGGAAGAACTGAGAGCCGGAGCGAAGGGCAATTGTTTAAAAGAAGAGTGAGGGGCCGTGGCTTACATGTTGGTGATCTGGATGTTGGCTGCTCCCACCGGGAGAAGGCCCTCGCACGAGGTGAGCACGCCACGCAGCATGCCTGCAGTGACGGGGATGCAAAGAGGAGCAGCAGGCAGCAGCAGATGTTAATAATGACGAGCACTGTGGGGGCACAACAACAGCATGGATTGCGGGGTTAGGTTTTGCGGGGTTGGGATTGTGGGGGTACGGTTTGCAGGATTAGGGTTTGCGGGACCGACCTGCTGGATGCGGCAGCAGAGCCACGAGGTCCGCCACGCCAAGGGCGTCACTCAGCGGGGCGATCAGCGCGTCCACCTGCGCAGCGAGCGCCGACACGTCCACATTCAGTGCACCCACCCTCAGAGTGAGCGCTGCCACTCGCTGACTCAGCAACGCGCGGAGGTTGGGGAGGATGCCCACCACGTCCGTGTTGAGGGAGGTAGCGCGCTTGTTGATGGCGGGGAGGCTGCCTCTTAGCGACGAGATGCGCGACCGGAGTGCGACGGGTGTTGCCTGGGGAGTAACGCCGCCGGGTCGCGTGATTCTAAGGTATAAGATCAGGTCGAGGTTCGCAATGCGTGAGTTTAGAGCGTCGATGCTGCTCTGAAGGGCGGAAATCTGCGCTTGAAGCGCCAAGATCGCCGCGGATGCGTTGTCGTTCAACGCGGTAGCGAGCTTGTCGAGCGATTGCGTCAGCGCACTTTCTAGTGAAACGACTTGCGCTTGCAGCGCGGATTTTAGGTCGGACACGCTACTAGTGATTGTGCCAGTAACTTGAGCATGTCGGTTCGGGAGGCGATTCCCGAGCAGTCCGTTGGAGCCGATTCTAGCCTATGCGCATGATGCGAATAGCGCCGTTACAAGCAGTGCCGCCACAAGCGAGGACGCTGGAGGAGAACGCGCCATGGGGAACAAAATAGTAGTGCGGAAAGAGTGCGGCGGTCAGTGATCGCTGCTGGTACCAAAAGGTACGTATTTTACTCCACGTATTTTACTCGGGCGGCTGAGAGGCAGTCGTGGGCGATTAGTAGGAACGGTCGTGTCGCGAAGAGTGGGAGGAAGCTAGTGAACAAGAGCTGGTGCTGTTGGATTTGGATTTGGATTGTGGCTTGCCCTCGATTATATACTCGCTCGCAAGGTGAAGGCTTGAACGAAACCAAGTGCTGGTGTGACGGTAAGGACGCGTCCCCTCTGGCTCGATCCTGCAAAAATCGATCTTCCACCGTACTGAAACCTTGATTAGTGCTTCTAAAACTTTCCGAAACTTTTCTAACCCCGCCAAAAATCGATCCTGCAAGCCAAAAATCGCACGATCGGTGCTAGAGGGGACGCGTCCTAAGCGCGTAATCTTGAGCGAGGCGGTGATTGACGGTTGGGTTGCGGCGATCGAATGGGTGAGCGTGGGCGACGATGAGCGAGGTGCGGCGAACCAGCGACGGGCTGAGCAGGCATTTCGCCGAACGCTCGATTCGCTTCACGCGGAATTGTTGCGATGCTACCACAAACCTACCCTCTACTCGATGTTAGCCATCCGCGTTTCACAGAATCAATATAATCTCACTAGTGTGACGGGTTAAGGTTATAAGGACGCGCTAAAAGTGTTCGATTTGGGGGATATCGATCCGGTCACTGCACTGAAACCCCGCTGTTTGCATACAAAAGCTACACAACCGTTTACAACGGCGCAAAAATTTGAACCTGAGGCAATCGATTCTCCACCGCATCCTAATAGTCGATGATTCACCATGTGTGTGTCATGGATCTCATCAAGCCGTTTCAAACCCAGATTTTGTGAAGGTTCAGCACCCGTTGTCTTTAATATTGACATATTCGGACTCCTCGTTGTTAGGAATAGTGACATCAGAACACTACTGTACACTCCTCACTGCAGCCAAAGAAGCACGCAGTAACGAGAATGAATGTGAACAGTCAAAACTGACTCGAAGCGTCGCAGACGGTTGAACTGCATCTGGACCGTCGAAGCAGACGGCATCGGCAGCTGCAGGCAAGAGGAATCGGCGAGAACAGTTTTCGTAACTGTACGCGCCGCACGGTTGGGAATGAATTTGAATAAGGGAATGTACCCCTTAGAGTACATGACTAGCTAGGTCATATTTATATCGTTGTAGTTGCATGTTTTCATCAATCTCAAGCATTTTACATTCACTCTGCTATTGAGATCAAGGGCCCACCAACACTATCTACCTGCGTGCGAACCTTCCCGAGTAGATCCTGGGAGCGATCCCCTTCTGATCGTAGCATGGTATGAGAGCGACTCGGGAATCCTTCGCACTGCCACTCCCGAAAGCTACGACATTCGGAAAGTGGCGTCCGGCACACGCTCGCTTGCAAGAATGGCCGGAGGATCTGGTGGTCAGACTAATCTGACGGCTGAAGCGCAAACCAGCCCGGCTGCGACAAGCGAGGGAACGACAACGATCGGTACCGAAGTCCTCGCACAACTCCTTCAGCGACTCACCAGCTTGGAGCAAGGGCTCCAAACATTGCGGAACGGCGATGCGGGAACATCCTCGCAACCTTCTCAACCGGCCCCAACTGGCCAGAACGCCGCCCCGCACACTTTCTCCCTCGACACAAATGGTTCAACCCCCAAGGCTCCCCGTCCCAGTGAAGAGGCAATTCTCTCTGCGCAATCAAGGTTTCTCAGCATATAAAAAATAAAGACAAGTACCTGCTTCGACGGCAGAGATTTCTATACCTGGAGCTTCGAACTGGAGCTCCTGCTGCAGAACGCCCAAATCTTCCATTACTTCGACGGGAGCTACGCGGAACCCGCTGATGACACCGACGACGTCAGAACTCGCTATTACAACGAGTCATTGATGGCGTACGAAGTCCTCCTACGCAACATGTCGCCGGCAGAGCAGTTAAGCATCCGTTCGTACAAGACATCGGCTGCTCCGGCCCTCGACGCTTGGCGCCACCTGAACGGTGTGTATCAGCCGAAGGACTCAGTCTCTTCGAGCCGGCTACTCCAGCAGTTACTGGAGACCAAAATGACCTCAGGGGAGAAGGTCAACAGCTACATCAATCGCTGTCGGAGCCTTCGCGACCAAATCGCGAAGTTGGGAAGTTCGATTTCGGAGGAAATCTTCGTGAACATCGTGCTTCAAGGGCTCGGCCCAGAGTGGCGGCCTTGCAAGGCGCTTCTCGAAGAGCAGGGGGTCATCTCGGAGGCCGCCCTTTGCGCCGCCCTTCTCGTCGAACAACGGGATATGGATCAGCATGGACCAGCGCCACGACGAGAACGTGAACGGCTCGCCTTCTACGCCGACAACACCGAAGAGCGACGGCCGCGGCGCCTCTACTGCAAGATCTGCAGAAATTTTGGGCACCTGACGGATCGATGTAAATTCCGATCTCGCCCTCGCCCGACCAATCCGAGCAACTGGTCCGGCCGACAAGACGCACGAGGCGACGTGCGTTCAGCCCAGGGGTATCAACCCTCACCCGCACGCAACCTGAACCCAGTGGTTCAGCATCAGCAGCAGCAGCCATCACCGACTTCCCCAGTTCGCAACGTCATGAGCAACATGGCCATGACAGGCGAGTCGCGTCGTCGCCGCGTGCGCTCACCTTCACCTGAGCCCGCACCCCATTGGCGCATTCAACAACAACAATCAGTTCAGTACGCGCCACGACTTCACCGACGACGACGACCAAGACTGGAATCTTCCAGTCCCGCTGCTTGAAAGTCCCCCGCACGTACCTGATATGCGGGTGGCGCCACTTGATTGGCTCTCGCGCGAACAATTTCTGAAGTTTGACACTCCGCACATCGTCACGCCAAGACTGGCGCTGCTCGCCCGTGACGACAACAAGCGCTACAACACCTGGTACCTGGACAGCTGCTGCGGCCAGCACATGGTGGGCTCCGAGCGTTACATATCCAACGCCGTCGCCACCCCCACAGTCACCTACGTCACCGTGGCTAACAACACACGCCTGCGCGCAAGCGCGCAAGGCATCGTCGTGCTCAAGGCACGCGGAAGCCGCACGCACATCACGCTCAACAATGTGCTGATCGTCCAGAATCTGCGCTTCAACCTGCTTTCCGCCGCACAGCTCATGGACTGCGGCGTCGAACTCAGCACAGATCGCGCGACGCGCGACATTCTGCTGCATTACGAATCAAGAGACTTCCCTCGCATGCAGATCGGCAGAGCACACTCCGAAAATGGAGTGTATGTCCTGGACTTCGACATCCCCGACTGCAGCGGCGACTCGCACGAGTTAATCGACCTCGTGCCACTGCGCTTCGAGCACATTCACCGCAGGGACTGGAAACACCCTGACGGAAGACCGTGGGTGCCACATCATCCCCACCCACGCGACACGGCGCTACATGACCCTGACCCCGATGGCATCTGTAGGGACTGCCACACGCCAACGGCGTCAACCAGCGCAATTGCCGGCCGCGGACTCGCCGCCATCGCCGAAGCAGAACGCCACGCGCCGCCAGAAGAAGGAATGTCACAACTAGAGCTTGAAGTCACCACGCGCGGCGTGTTCGGCACACCAGACCACCCTCTCATCGGACCCCCATCCCAACATCTCCAAGGGATGCTACGCGGCACTGGCATCGGAACTCTCGACACACGCGGACTCTCGCGGCCTTACACCCGCGAGGAATTCCTAAAGATTTACCCCCACTGGCGCGACCCGAGGAACAGGAGGAAGACTTGGCGCGCCGCGAAGCAGAGGAGCTTCGCCAACAAAGCCTCGCCGAAGCACGCGGAACAATTGCCTGCGGCGCATGGGGAGCCGAAGCAGAAGAGAGCGCCTGCAATGAAGGGGGGTGGGGGAGCGTCGGCGGATGGGGAACGGCCGACACCAGCGGCTGGGGCACCTCTGCCGGAGGCTGGGGGACTTCTCGCGATGAACAAAGGGGGGGAGAAGAAGCAGTAGAGGCTGCAGTTGTTCCCCTTGGTCGTCCCCCGTGCCATGCTCCACCCGCGCTGCCTCCGCCTGACATTCCGCCGCATCGCAACCCCTGGGACACCATCGATTGGGGCAACGAGCCGTCAACTCCGCGCCGCACCGTCTATGGACCCGCTCCCGAACCGCGCGAACCCACCTTTGTCCCTGGAACCATCCCTGGGACCAACATCCCACTCTCTGAGATTCGCGACAGAGAGTTTCTGGCGCTAATGATGACCACCGCCAACGACGAAGAAGAAGCAGCAGAAGAGGTAGCAGCAGAACCTGCCCCCGTGTCTGACGAAGACCCCGAAGAAGCTCGCGCGCGCGATATGCGCACTGTCAGAAATAACTGAGCAGGAATGGTGTGACTAACAGGAACAACAGTACAAATATGAAACCCTAACCTGGTATACCCCCTAAGGTATCACCCACTACAGCCTAGAACAATATAAACATATAATGTTTGACACACCCCCATAGGCAAAGTGGGGAAGACCTAGGGGTCACAAGACCAGTCAAGGCAAAGCAAGGCAACAACAAGCTCAGGGTGGACCTCAAGGGTTCCACACAAATTCCGAGCACAAACTAGCGGTCACAAGCCCAGTTCACATGCAAGTTTATAACAGATCATGATATACAATGATCACAACCTAGCAAGAGTAGACATGCAGGCATATATATATAATGATCACAGTATAAGCAAGGTCAAGAAGTGAGCAAGTGAGGTCCAGTAGGCACAAGGCCCAGAAGAGTACAAAAGCGCTGATGGTCAACAGGCGGAAGTGCCTTGGTGAACACATCAGCAAGGTTGGCCTCGGTGGCCACGTAACGCAGACGAAGCTGACCTCGCTGCTGCAGCTCTCGAGCAAGGAAGTACCGCAGAGCGATGTGCTTCGTTCTGTGCTCCAGTCTGTGCTCCTCACACAGGGCAATGGCTGCCTGGTTGTCGACGTACAGCACTGGAGGAGAACGAGGCCGCTCCCCAAGGTCGGTCAGCAGGTAGGTCAGCCAGCGTAGCTCCTGGGCAGCCATGGCTGTGGCGTAGATCTCAGCCTCGCAACTGGAGCTGAGAACAGAAGAAGAGCGTGTAGAGCGCCAAGAAACTGAGCCAGAGCCAAGGCTGAAGGAGTAACCCTGAGACGACCGCTGAGTGGCCTGGTCGTCTGCCCAAGAAGCGTCTGAGTGCCCTGTGAGAACAACTCGGTCTCGCCCTCCAAGCACAAGCCCCATGCCCGACGTACTGCACAAGTAGCGCAACACCCTCTTAGCGGCATCCATGTGCTCCTTCCTGTGACGGCCAGGAGCGACATAGCGTGCAAGGATGCTAAGAGGGTATGCAAGGTCAGGTCGAGTGCAGGTCATCAGGTACATGAGGCAGCCCACAAGCTCTGGGTACGGGCCACTCGACTCTACGGACTCATCCGAAGGCAGAGCTGAGAGCGAGTGACCGGTAGGCAGAGGAGTGGACTGAGGCGAGGAGTACGTGAAGCGGAAGCGCTGGAGAACCTGCTGCACCATGTGTGACTGAGTCAGGGTGATGGTGCGCCGTGCTCTGTCCCGGGTGATCCGCAAGCCAAGATAGCTTGTCAGCTCACCCAGGTCTGTGCACGTGTGTCTCCTCTGCAGCTCCGACTTCACGTAGGCAAGTCCTGCAGTGTCAGCAGTGGCAAAGACCAAGTCGTCGACGTACACGAGGATGTAGAACGGCGGCAGCGAAGTGTCGGTGCGCAGGAACAGCGACGGGTCAGCTGTAGAAGGCGCGAACCCAAGAGCCGCAAGTGTAGTCCTCAGTGTGTCGTGCCACTCACGCGGAGCCTGGCGGAGACCGTAGACCGGCCGCTGAAGCCTCCACTGGGTACCAGGAGGAAACGACCCAGTGAAGCC